ATATAGTTGATTTTGATTCAAAGACTTGTTTATAGAAATAAAAGCTCAAATATCTAAATGGGGTACAAAAAGTGTACCCCAGGGGTACAAAATTTTCTGGGGTACAAAATGACGAAATGGGATATTGTACCCCAAAATGGGGTACAGTTGGCAGCCCTGGTAGGGGACCACAGCCAAAAATTTTTTCGAAAAAAAACTTTTTCATCTGGGTAAAAAATAAAGTAGTTTAGTATGTTCAGAATTTAATGCTGATTCTAACCATACAATTTTTTTTCAAAAATATTAGGGAATGAAAAATGGCCTTACCGCCACTCGTCCTTTGAATGATTATACATGTAGTAGACGAATATCACTTCATTTCGAGTTTTTATCTACTTCAATAAGAACTAAGCATGGTGTCGATCGATCTACCATGACTGTGAGTGTGATTATGTATTCTTCTTCTCTAAACGTATACCGACACCTACCCATCCACAAAAAAATCAAACTGTTTCCACTATGTGACTACTTTGTTCTACAGACGTTTGAAGCAACTCATAAGAAAATTGCTTTTAATTTGTTTAAGACGATCTTTTGAGAAAAATTAATTTCAAATTTTTCAGATAAACTAGCTCCACGAAAAATGATCAATCTTTGAGTAACGACGAATTATCATTCACTTTTTGTTCATGAAAGATATTTATTTATCGTCCAACTGTGACGGTCAAAAGCAAAATAAAAAAAATAAAAGTAGGCTGCACTGAAGTTTCAACTATGTCACAACATTCTCCGTAAAAATCTCCGTCTTTGGATGGATTTTTCAGAATTTTAGAAGAACTATTTTTGAGAAATAATTTTGACATACAAAAAGTGTGAAAAGACCAAAGAGCCCTTTTCTGATAGATCTAAACCATTGTTCTTTTTTAATTTGACACATTCTAAATACTTTTTGTTCAGAATTAAATTGTGTATCCAACCGCATAAGAATAGATATTTCATACAGACAGTCATCCAGTTCGAAACTTTTTCTCCTGAACAACAGCACCAGAAATCTTGAGAAGGTTCTGGATGCATAGATCACAAAATTCTCTATTTGTTCGTGTCAAATAATTTACTTGTAGTATCAGCCTTGATGAGCAAAGGCTTACACTAATCAATAAATGACAGCAGATATTTATTTGAAAAATAAAGTCAACAGTTTTGTAGAACTTGAAATTCTCTATTATTCGAGATATAAATGAATATTTTTCATCAATAGAAAGTGATTTTTGACTCTTCCAATTCTTCTATGAAATATTCTAGATTTAACTCTTATTCTCCAATAAGTGAAACACAATGGAGCGTACAAAACTGGTTGTAATGATATTACTCATAGTGGTAAGTTTTATTCGTTCTTCTGAAAGGACATGATTAGTTATAGCCTGATTAATACGTATAAGATTATCTCTTTATTTCAAAAATTCTTTTTAATCAAGATTTAATATAAGAATGAGATTTTCACCAAACAGTTATTGATCTCACATGAGAAGCATTTTCATTGCGAACAAAATCTATTCTACGTCAGTCTTGATCATGATCAAGAAACAATGAGTTCAATTATAAGGTTCATTGACGATTCTATATCAAAAAATAAATGACGAGATTTGTGTAATTCATTCACAAGCTGGATTTCGCTCTATTCAACAAATAAATTCTTATAGTAAGTATATATATACAGGGTGGTCCATAAATAACTGTGCGATAAGAAATTCAAATATCTCCGCCAGATGTCGACCGATCGGGCTGAAACTTTTACCAGTGATAGAGACTTACTTAAAGTTTTTTTTGGTACAGGCCACATAACGAGATCAATGTTCTTATGTATTAAGATAACATCAATACGAATTTTCTACTTGTTACGAGTCCTACCAAATGTCATAGAATGATTTCTGCGCATTTTCAAGACTTCTTTTTCAGATAACTGACATGAGAGAATCAAAAGAAAGTGTATTATATCAATCACAGTAAATACAAACTGAGATTATAGAACAAATTAATTCAAATGTTCGAATTGACGCCCATCAGCATCGATGCACTTCTGAAGTCTTTCTGGCACTGATTCACAAACTTTCTTGCACAGATCTGAATCTATTGCTGAAAAAGCTGAAATAATTGATTGTTTGAGACTGGATAAGGTTCGATGCTTCTTTTGGTAAACAATATCTTTCAGATAACCCCACAAAAAATAATCAGCAGGAGTAAGATCAGGCGATCGAGCAGGCCAATCAAGCGCACCACGACGACCAATCCACCTTGCTGGAAAATTTTCGTCTAACCAATCTCGAACATTGGATCCATAGTGTGCTGGCGCGCCATCGTGCATGAAAAAAAAAGATTCACTATTAGGTAAATCACAAAACAATGGATAGAAATAATCACTCAACATTTCGATGTAACTTTGACTAGTCACCGTGCCATCGAAGAAATAAGGCCCGATTACACCTTGAGAGGATAGACCAGCCCATACAGTAACACCTTCAGTTTGCATAGTTTGCTCCCATGTAAGATTTGGATTTTCTATTGCCCAATAGACAGAATTATGACGATTAATATGTCCATTGAGTTTGAATAATGTTTCATCAGACCAAATGATATGATGAATAAGATCCGGTTCGGTTTCGAGGAGCGATAAAAATGTTTCACAATATTCAATTCGTCGATCGAAATCATCTTCATTGAGTTCATGAACTAATCTGGGAATATATGGCTTAAAGCCCATAGACTTGTAAATACGTCGAACTGAAGATCTTGAAATACTTAAATCTGTACTCATTTTACGAATCGACGTTCGAGGTTCTTTTTGCAAAGCTGACGAAACTTCGTCTTTTGCAGCTTGGTCAGTAACTGATACAGGTCTACCAGGTGGTCCAATATCGAGTACGGAACCAGTTTGTTCAAATTTTTTCATCAATGCTCTTATCGCATTACGATGTGGAGGATTATTATTTATTTCCTTACACCATAATCTTTGAACATTTATTGGATATTCAATACGATACATATGTTTGACAATCCATGTCTTCTCATTCACACTCAATTGACGTCGAGCCATGTGCTATATTGAATCCGAAATTTATGAATATATAGACTTTCTTGACTAGAGAATGTTATTATTTGTGTATAAGAAAGTACGAATAGATAGAGAAAAGCTTTAAATAAATGCCAAAACCTCGGATTTAAATCCGAGTGTTATGTGTACTTCAAAAAGTGAAAAGGTATATTCACTGTGCTTTTTATCCCTAAA